TGTGTGTATATTTTATTCAAATTTTGTGCTTTATCCATAGGACCTGTTTTGTCCCTATTCTCAAGAATCACTGATGTAATATTTCGAATCGGGCCATCTTCTTGCCTTGACATGCGTGCCATCTAAATCTGCGACGCACAACAGAGGAAAGCACTTTAAGTGTTTTTTTTCCCCATCCCACCAGAGAATCCTAAACCCTCAAGTTGTAGTCTGTACGAAGAGCTAACCTTGCTGGGAAGACTGGACATTGTTGTTAGTAATTACTAGCGTTGACACTTTAATGCATCTTTATCTGTGTTGCAGAGCGAGGTTTCGTAATTGGGACACTCAAGCTCGTTTATGCTGATTGCCCAACGGTTCCCCGGTCCCCTTGCGCGTCGCGTGCATTTACATACCTTGTTCGGCTGCACGGCTCTCCTCAGATTCTCCATCCATTTGTCTCTCTCGGCCGCCGAACGGCAGGAAAAACATTTGCTTCCTGTGGAGGTGGTGACCTACCGCAGAGGCAGAAAGACAGGAGAAAAACAAATGCTTCGATGATCGAGCCTCACGCAAGAAAGGAGACGGCAAAGCTTTTCACGGTGAACCCAGTTAAAATGCATCACATTAGCAGCCAGAGAGAAATAACCTTGTGAAAAATAAACAGAACCGGATGACAGGAAACAGAAAATGACTGTTGGGAAATGACTTGTCTTTTTCGCTAATTTCACGATGGATAGAAACAGCCTCAGTGAAGTCAGCTTCACTGCTCGCGTGCTTACATGATGTGTTTTCTGCTATATACACAAATCTCTCTCTATATAATCATATTTTCAAAGAAATTGTTAAAAATGTTAAGGAATCTGAATGTACATACAACAAGGAGATGGTGAGGACCGGTGGGCAGTTTCCAATCAGACCACAAAGAATGACTAATCAGACAAGAACAGGCTGTCCAAAGGTCACAGCTTCCTTGACCTTTTCTTTCTTTTACCGTTCAGGAAATAATCAGACATATAGAAGCAAGTAGCTACTTGCTTCTATATGTCTGATTATTTATGCAAATTGGGGAAGCTCTTTTTGCTTGATAGCAGCCCGATGCAATGGTGCTTAGTGTTTTTAGCCATACTCAAGAAATCTGAAATATTCAGCAGTTTCTCTTTTCAAAGATGTCTTTGTTGGGAAAATGTAATTTTCCGGTGATTGGGGATAATATATTCTGTGATCTCGAAAAAATTACTTCACTAATGGAACCATTACAAATAAATCAGATTTAGTATCTAAAACAAGACAAGGAGTTTAAGACGTTTTCTGTTTCTCAGGTTGTCTCTTTTCAACTGGAAAATTATCCTAAGCATACGGAAACATCATCACATGAATAGATTTTTCAAAAATGTTCAATGAAAGATCTTGGTAAAGAATACAGATGTATTTTATTGCCTTTTTAACATTTCTATTTATTGATTGTCTTTTGTCGTTTTCTTTACTAGTGCAGAACTCTTCGTTTTTTTCTCTTGACATATGCTATGTAATTACTTTAATCACTTTTCAACCAAAAATATCAAACCTTACTTAAAGCTGTTTCATTGTTTTACTTTTAATTTTTTAATTTTTGGAAAATTTTGGTAAAAAAAAAAAAAAAAAAAAAAAACAATGTTCAGCTGAAACATTGACCATGAAAACAAATTCTAGTCTGAGCTTGTTGATGTACAGAAGTCAGAACAGTAAATGAGATACTAAAACAAAACAAAACATAAAACAATCAGAATTTCGAGTGACCCAGGCATGAAAGGAAAACTCATCAACACAACAATTTGAAACAGCAGCAGTGGCAGCAGCAGGGTCAGCTGTAAACACAGCACTTAAAGTACATATTATGAGCCTGTAACAATGTTTAGATGAATGTGTTAGTGATTAACATACACAGAGTTTACTCCCCCCAACTCCCTCGTATCTCTGCTGGGTATCAAATCTGGCTCATTAGCAGCTAGCATATACAGAGGGGTTTGGAGCTCCACTGCTGCCTGCTGAGCCTGTAAACAACACTGATGAGGCCGTTGAGTCATCATGAGTAAAGTTTCAGGCAATGAAACCAAAACAAAGCGTGGAGAGACCCTAAATCAGCTTGGTAACAATTTTCTGAATGCTAGTCATTGTGGCAGCCCTTTTCTCGATGCAGGGGAGATTTCTAAACATTTCTTAAAACCAAAATGCATATAGTATCTACAGTTAATGATTCTGGAAAGAGGAAAGTATAATATACTGATTTCTTCTAAAACCTTCATGGGTGTATGAACAAAAAAAAAAAAAAATAGAGGTAGTGATAGGGCGCTTAGTGGGAGTATCCCAAAGGGACTATTTCAGGAGGCTAGAGGCTGTAGCAGGGGGGTGGGAAAAAATGTAAGTGCCAATCATTTCTGTGTTTGATCACAAGGATAAAACACAACGCTCCTTTGCTGGGCTTTGGCTTACAATCAATCAACCCCAAATCTGTAATTTATCGAAATACTAATCTCTTGTTTCACTAGCAAAAGACAAGAGTCTTGAAAACTTTCTATGGCCTTGTAGCGTGTGACTGGCGGTCGTTTTCAAAGTGCCGGAGTTTCAGGGAGAAAAGGCTCTAAAGACACGGCTGCAGTTGAACAGCGAAGGATTTCATTTCAAACTTCAGCTCGCATCACAACAAACGAATCACGACTGATTCCTGTTGACACTGTTTCCAGATCGTGCTGGTATCAATATATTTCTGTGTTCGATCAGTCCCAATGTTAAGACCTTTGATTAGAAATCAACTCCAAACACACCAGAGGACTCTGTAAACTATAATCTCAAACTTTTTCACTCGTAACAGGTTGTCTAGTTAAATGCACCTTGATTGATAGATTAAGGCAAGTTCTACTGTCATTATTTCAGTGTGGATTTATTTACTGGTTATTAATCAAATGGTGACTTTGTTGGATAGGATGCTTTCTATTGGTCTAGAACTGAGCAGTCATTAGCTTGACTTTTCAGCTTGATGAAAAACACATTCAGCTATCTAAGTATTTTCATTATTAAAGTATCTAAATCATGCTGGATTAGTTAATTTAATCATTTGGTTATACTTTTGAGGATTTTAGAAATAAAGTATGAGGAAGCACGACAAATTTGCATTATTTGCTGCTGTTTCAACTGTTAATTTCCTCCTCAGTATGGAGTCAACTCCTGCTAATGACCTTATTATTTGACTCAGGTATGATGAAGCAGAAACGGATCTAAAAGTCTCAGAACGTTAGCCCTCGACAGCTGGAGCTGGAGACCCCTGGCACTTACAGTAGCTCCATATTGACTAGCTGATCTCTTACACAGGTGTCTCAGTGACAAGAAAAGCTCCACAAACTGCACTTGATCAAAAAGAGAATGGAAATTTGAATAAAATAAGAACACTCGGTTTAAACCTTTGCTTAAAACCATTGCCGGTTTAATTCTCACACCTACTTTACATATCTCGCCTGCAGGGCTGTACGCAGAGAAAAAAAAAAAAAAAAAAGAGCGCCGCCTCACCTCGAAGCAGTAGTCCTGGCCGAGGATGCTGCTGTGCACAGGTTTGATGATGACCTCGTCCTCCATGCTCAAGTCCAGGGCTTCCACGGCGCTACTGGGGCTGAGCAGTGATTCATGGGAGCGAGACTCCTTCAGTCTTGGCATCAAATGCGATCTACAGGAGGAGGAGAGGAGAGGGACGGTGAGAACTGAGTCACTGTGCAGACTGTGAGCAGAGGAAGTACAGGAGAGGGAACATATGCAGCTAGCATTCATGGTGAGTGTGAAGACGGAGTGTGAGGACAACAGCGGCAGGCCACTTGCCTCGAAGCTGACGAGCTCACAGCGTGCTGGGGCTCGCCACTTATTGTATAGAGGAACATGTTGACATACTCCCTCAAAAGAGTGGATGCAGACGGAGGCTTTGAAACATCTAATTTTCAATCTTAGGCACTGATGCGTAAGTTCAATAGCTGAAGAGCCAACCCAGGCTATGGATCCACAAATACGAAGCAAATTACAGAATCAATGTCCAAAAACCCAGACTGTACCGTTGATGATAAACTATTAGCTGCATAACACTATAATCTTTACTTCTTGGGTAAAATACAACCCATCATTTACCACAAACTACTAAATTTACCAAAGTTTTCTGTTTATTTTATCCAACTTTGATTGAATTTGTATTTTTCTTTTTGTGCCTAGTCTAAAAAAAATGTGCTATGGTTCAAATCCCTCCATGATGTTAGGTTGGAATTTCTTCTTGTAGATTAAAGTGGAAAACATGGGAGAAAATGTAGAAAAATAAAATGCTGGGAATATCCAATAAAGCAATAATGCTTGTGGAAAAAAACTAATACCTAACTTTATCTGAGATACCATTTTTTATAGGAATGCCAAATTCTGTTTTGACGAAGTTACATTACAAACAAACTAAAAAAAAAAAAAAAAAAAAACACCCTTTGAAATATGAAACAGAAATGCTGGAGAGGAGCAACAGACTCTCATTTGCCTAATCTACCCCGAGGCCAAGTGGAAACAACACACCCAGGGTTAATGTCATCTCAAAGGCTAAAATGAGTCCCAAAGATGAAATGGAGCATTGTTTTAAACAACCCTTTGAGTCTTTCAGTTCGTCTTTAGAGGACTAGCGGATGTCTGTCTATAAAGGACATTTTGCAAGATTTAACTGACCACACATCTTGAAAAGTATCGCAGTTCTGTCTAAAACACTTAAGGAAAATGTTCACAAATTACTGTTGTAGTCTGTATTGATTGAAGTGGAGGAACTTTTTATCTCCACAACAACCACGCTGTAATTTAAACTCGAGCTTCTCAGAGTTTCGAACTGTGAAGGTTGAATTTTCTTTCGAATTTTCCTCCAACTGCCTACTGAAAGCAATATTACTCTAAAGCAGGCGTCCTCTAATCCGTATCTCGACAGACTGTGTCCTGCAGCTTTTAGATGTGTCCCTGGTCCAACATACCTGAATCAAATGGCAGAATTACCCCCTCAGTACAAAATCATGTTCTCCAAAATGTGTGTTGTAGCCGAGATACATTCTACAGATCTGTAGTTGAAGACTGTTGGCCTAAAGGGTTTGTTTCATAATAAGTATTTATCAGAAGCCTGAAGGGGTTTCCTTCTTGGTAATAGTGCATTGCTAGGCCAGGTTTGCTAGGTCTTCCTGAGGGTATTTCACATCGGCTAAGGATTTGTAGGGCCTTTACCTTAACTGACCTTTCTTAATTACTCTACAAACTGAGAAAATGCACTTCTGTTACCTTCTGAGGATCAGTTATGTTAACTTTGTTAAGGGTTTTGTTTTTTTTTTCTCCAAAGATTGCAATTGGTATCACCTGGCCTCCCCGACTGATTACAGCAAACAAGCCCGATCTGTATAGGGCTAATTGAGTTCAATGACCTTGGAAAAACCAATTTTAGAGCTGAAGTTTCTTTCTGGAAGGGTACGTCTTCTGCTACTCTGTCCACATAGGATTGTAAATATATAAAAAGAAACACCAGATCAATCTTGTTCCAAGTGTCAGGAAAAAAAAAGAAAAGTTAATTACATCTGCTTCTAGTCGGGTTTCTGATTTTTATTTATCACAGTCGCAGAAATTACGAGCTGAGGTGCCAACGTCTCCGCGAGTTACTGCGAATGTTTTCTCCATTGAACTGTGATAAGGACCCCGACATGCATCTTCGAGTGCTTCAATCCCCTGACAAATGCAACCACAGGGCTCAATTCTTTCCCTGTTTATTTTTGCCAAAGAAGATTACCAAACAAAGTAAAGAGCTCTTGACTGTTTGCGGCGTTTGATGCCGTCCTAGTTTCCTTGTGTTCGTGGAGCTGAAGCAGGGGAATATTGCGTCCTCATGCTTCGCATCCAACACTGATTGCGTGTTTTATGCCAGCACTCACTATTTATATCAAACAGACTTTTCTACATTTTGTCACCTTACAAGCACAAACTTCTAAGCATTTGTGGGCATTTTATGATCTCGACCAACACAAAGCATTGAGGAAGTAAAAGGAAGATGATACATGGATGATAAGTGGATGAATGTAGTCAGCCCCCGTGAGTCATACTTTCTAGGACTGTCTCTTGCTGTAATTATAGCTGCGTATCTTTTGGGGATACGTCTCTAACACCTTATAACTTAGCTAATTATTCAATATAGGATAGCTCAAGGTCATTCAGTTTGGAGGGAACCTCTCTGACACGTGGATTTGCTTTGATCCGTGGCGGTATACTGCGGATCTGCGGTTCAGTGTCGACGTCTTCCTCGAAGGAACCATTGCCCCAGTTTCATGTCTTTTGCAGCAGCTACAATATTTTACTTACTTACTTTTTGTTAAATTGACAAAATGTGGAAAAGCTTAAGTGCAATAACTGCTTTTGCAACAAACCGTTTACTCATGTCCCCCTATTAGCCGCTGACGTCACTCATGTCTCGGTGAGTCTCATGCCGATACGAGGATCACATGTTTATTATTCTAGAGGGGGAAGTAAGCGGCAACAGGCCTGCTGCATGACTCTACGGGGACACTGAAATAAAGACAGAGGGGTCAGCTCTGAGAGTAATGAGTGAGAACAAACATTTAGCAGGTCCCTCTAAGAACAGATTACATGGTAAGCCAGTGTATCTGCGTGAGCCTGCATGTGTGATGCATGTCTTTTCTGAGGATTTTCGAAAGGCACATTCCGGGAAAAACGTAGTGGATGTACTGGCAGATTAGCTCTTTTCTATATTTCAGCAGCTCTGCTGTAAAATCCTAGGTCGCATGTGAAAGCGGACAATGACTCTAACTTCTAATCTCTTGGTCACACACGTGTACACGCAGACTCAAACAGGAAAATACCATCGAGCAGATGGGGGGGAAAAAAACAAAAGAAAAGAAAACAAAACAAAAAAATCGCAGTCATATCCTGACAATTCCCCTGCAGGGAAAGTGTGTTTGCACCTTCCTCTACTTTATGATTGGCTGCTTGGGTGCTGGGCAGAACTGCGCAGAGAGCCTGTCAACCATGTAGGAAAAGGAAGGAAAGGATATGTGCAACTGTATTAAAGAGCTGGAAAGGAAAGGCGCTTAGTTGTGTGGCACGGTTCATTTTGGAGGCGACTCGGAAGTTGAAGGAGCAGACGTAAATAAAGCCGCATTTATAAGGAATGATGGGAAAAATATGCACCTCATAAAAAAAAAAGAAACAGCAAAATGCTAATTTTAAGCAAGTTGTTTATATCATACAAATGATGCGGACAGTCTTTATGGGGCAGTTTTTCCTCATGTTTTTTTAAGGATGTGTTTTAAAGCAACCAGTGAAGACAGAGGTACAGCAATCTACTTCAGATAAGAGAAAAAAAAAATTTTCGCAGTACACTTAATACTAGGGTTAGGGTTAGAGTTAATACTAGGCTCATTAATAAATACATTGTCTTTGTTGACAAAATTCGGGTCTGTGTATATCACTACATTTCGGTTTATGCTTGCCAAGTGCTTACATCTAAGCTCATAATTTTAGGATTTAGAAACAATAACTTCTTTACTTTCAGGATGTCAGAGAAAATTCTGATCCCACTCATTGACATCATGGATACTCTGACTCAGAGTCTGTAAGGGACCGAGGTCACAAAGTGACCGAAAGCTATCCGTCATCATCAGAACACTTATAGTAAGAGATCTTGCAACATTTCACAGTCTGGGCTAGTAGACACAATTTAGACGTTGAGCAACGTGACCCAAGAATGACATCTTAATATTTGCTGAACCAGATTCTGCACAGCTGCTCTAGCAGGTCAGTCAACAAAATCTGAACCGATTTTGCTTGAAACCAGGTAACTTCAACTCCATCAGGCTGTCAACTGGTTTTTTTTATCAACAGTGTCGAATACAGCAGTGAATATTTGGAAAAACCAAAACAGATCAAGATGTAGGTAAATTAAAACTTATTTCAATGCAGTCTCTAAATGCTTAGAGACTGCATTGAATAGAACATTGAACCGAACAGTCGAGACCGCATATTTATAAAATCACAGCTTAAGGCTGAGGCTGCAGTTTGAACTATGTGACTGACAAGAAGCAGCTGTAAACATGGCAGAACAGTTTAATTAGCAAGCACTCACATTTCAAACATTCAGGCATCTTTCTGTGGCCTGATATTAATAGCAATCACAGCAAATAAAGGAACGCATCCTCAAAAAGGAACATTATTCCGTCTTACATCTGGATACGCTTCGTCTCGCTGCGGATCGCATTCTAAGGACATTAGTGTCATTGAAAGTGGTGGGAGGCTGTGAGCGTGTGAATGGATGAATAATAAGGCTGCCCATCATCTGTACGGCGTCGTATTAAACGGGCGCCGCAAAGTGTAATTTGCCGCTTATTATTCAAATGCGAGTTCCTCGGAAATGGCAACGAGAGACGTGTGAATCCTGCTCCTTTCAAGCTGCATCGCTTCGTCTGACGCGCCGTCCGAGCCGACCCACCACCCCCCCCCGAAAGTGACAGGCGGCGGCGAGAGCAAGGGCTTGCTGACTTCATCCCCTCGTTCCTCTGCCGTTTTCCCTCCCTAACATCATCCATCCTCGTCACACGGCCTACGATGCCCTTGAAAATCCTTCGACACGCCAAATGCTGTGCAGCCGAATGTGTTTTCTCTCACTCGGCG